GCACAGGCTTCTGGGAGTTACAGTCCATGAGCACCTGGGTTACCCAGGCTTGGGAACCACTGTTTGATAGCTTGCAAGGGAAGAAATTGGCACCTCTAGCTTGCCAACTTGGTGTACAGCCAGCAAGTCGATTCTGAACCAGCAAACCGGCCAAAAAGAGGACTCATCTGCCCGCTGTGCTCTTCTGCCTCTTTCTTGAACCAATGAATACGGATTTGGGAAGTGCGCAGCTTCGCCCAAAGCACCTGCGACAACAGGCGGAGGGGACTCCTCCTAACTTGACTACTTTCCACTGAAAACCTGTGATTAAGAAGTGCCTATAAGGATTACTCATCTTTTTTTTTAAGGCAGCTGACTCAGCAGCATGCAAAATGTCTTTAGCTGGCTGGGTGGAGGCGATCTCGTTCCTTGGCTAGGATGGCTCACGTGGCCTTGAGATGCAGGACTAGTTTCTCAAATGGACACACCACGGCCCAGCACCGCTGGGAGTCTCTTCCCAGGGTGTGTGTGTGTGTTGCTCTTAGTCATGATGGCAATATTTTCTGCAACGTGCCATGCATTTAAAAGGTCCATATTTAGAGTCACTATAACTCTCAGAATGAGCTGCTGGGGAAAACGGTATATATGCATCTGTCTTTTTTATTCCTTGCCCATGAACTAGCCACCCCCTGGAGTCACGACGCTCAGCGTGGCTTGATCCAACATTATACGGAAGGCTAACTTATTCTTTCAGTGTATAGATATGTCACGTGTGTGTGTGTGTGTGTTTGCATCTGCTGGTTTTGCTCACTGATAAAACGGACCAATTCCTTCCCCCCCAGCAGCCCGACTTTCATGCTTTAGATGTGGCCTCCTTTTAGGGCTGGAGTAGAGACCCCCCCCAAGAGGTTTTAGACTTGGTCCCAGAAGCACCAGCTAGTGTGGCCAATGATCAAAGATTCTAGGACTTGTACCCATAAACATCTGGTAGATCAAAGACACCCCACTCTTGTCTTGCAGAATTGCCTTCAGCTTGTTTTCGCTCCTAATGTAGGTGACGGTACTTTGAACACTCTAAATGGTAAGCTCTGTAAATGGACTTTGTACTGCACCCTGTGTTTTCAAGCCGCTGATCTCCCCCCCCCACTTTCTGTTTTGACGGTTACAGTCTACTTGGCTCAGCCAATGACTGCTTTAGCTTTTCTGTTTGAAATTCCGTCAAATACCTTGCCTCTTTTTAACAAAGCCTGCCGGATTATTCCGTATGATCTCTGCCTTGAACGGCCTCCCGGAGTCACCTCCGTGCAACCTCAGTAGCACAGACGCCTTCCTGATCTCCTTTAAAAGTTCATTCTCAGAATTCCCCCATGCCCTGGAAGCATTTGCATGACTACCTCCCCTACGTCTGACCTTGTCATTGTTTGATGGCTTTGATTTTTGCTGCACAGCCAAAGTACAGAGATCCACAGAGGAGAATAACTGCAAGCCCCCCCAGAGTCCATTACTTTCACATTAACTGGTACTCAAAGTCTGAATAACTCACTCTGGGACATTAGTAGGAGAAAGAATAAAAATATTTCTTTACTTACGGTTATTTGAAGCTACAGACTTTCTTTACTGCATACATATTTAGCAACCAACCAGACAAGTCAACAGCAAACAAACAACTGCTGTTAACAGAGGAAAGAGAGGGAAAGAGCACTCAGGGGCTCTTTTTGAATTCAAAGGCTGGAAGGACCAATTGGTTAGTGCTGGACAGATAGACAGTCACCCTAGTTCCTCCCAGTTACTACAGATAGCATGTCAGATTACAAATAAACCTCCAACAGTAACTAGGCCAAAGGATATGCAACTGAAGCCATTAAACGTTCCTGTTCCTCCTTAGTTCTTAGTGTCTGCATTGAAAAGTGAGCCTCTTGGGGTAGGGATACAGGAAGCTGCTTTAAACTGACACTGGTCAAGCAGAATTTGAACCTGGGGCCTTGCCCATATGAAGCAGACACTCTCACTGAGATACCACCCTCTCCCAATTCATGATAGTAGACCTGCTTAATTTCAGTGGTTTGCCATGGCACAGCTCTGTATAAAAATAAATACCAACGAAGATCTCCCCTGAATCCTTGGAGGGCTTTGCTGCATATTTCCTCTCCCCTTGAGGTGAGCACATGGAATGTGCTTTCGTAGATCCAGAGGGGAACCTCCACGTCGTCTCAAGCACAGCATGCATGGCACATGATCAGGGCAGAACTGGTGCACCTTCTCTTTTTTTTGGTCTTAATGGATGCCTAAAAATGCAGAGATGTTCATCTGGAGGAGAAGAATCTCTCGCTTCATCCTCGAAGAATTACGGGTGCATAACAAGACTCCCAAAGGGGACGTGGCGGCGCTGCGGGTTAAACCACAGAAGCCTCTGTGCTGCAAGGTCAGAAGACCAGATGTCATGAGATTGAATCCACATGACGGAGCGATCTCCCGTTGCTTGTCCCAGCTCCTGCTAACCTAGCAGTTTGAAAGCATGTAAAAATGCGAGTAGATAAATAGGTACCACCTCGGTGGGAAGGCAATGGCGTTCCGTGTCTAGTCGCGCTGGCCACGTGACCGCGGAAACGGTCTTCGGACAAACGCTGGCTCTATGGCTTGGAAACGGAGATGAGCATCGCACCCTAGAGTTGGACACGACTGGACTAAATGTCAAGGAGAACCTTTACCTTTACCTAACAAGACTCCCAAACCTGGATTCTGTAATCTGTCCAATGCATGGGTGAGCAATCAGGGTTCTCCAGATGTTTGCAGCTTCTTAGGTAGGGCTAGGAGAGGAGTTTTTGAGCCAGGAACGTCCGAGGAGCCAACATGGGCATGAAGCACCCGGGTAGAATAGCCCCTGAAACTTTCTTGCAGCCAGAAGAGTTAGATTTTAACTCTGCCTGGCTTGTGCACCTAAAAATGTCATCTCTCATTTAGGCTGTCTGCACACCACATTCCACACTTGGGAAACATCGGCTTTTCTTCTCTTCCCTGCTCTGTTTTTGTCGGCAACCTTTGCTCCTGCTGCATTATGCAGCAGTCTCATTGCTGGCGGCGCGGCAAGCTGGCCTCCAGATGTGGCGAACCCACAGTTGTTCTCCGCTGCTCGAGATCCCTTCGGAATCGTCACGCCAGCTTCGTCCACCTCTAGTAGATCCCAGCCATGCGCAGTCCTGGGTTTCCTTAATTGCCCATTTGCTATAAATACCAGAGTTTTGGAAAGTGATGCATTTGTTCATTTATGTTTGAAACTACCGTTTTCCCCGCAAAGCATGGCCGTTTTCCAGCCTCAGACACCTAATGCGGGTTTAGTGGTGCATATATGTCACCCTCCCTCTCTCCCTTAATCCCCACCTCAATATCATGTGGGAAATATAAATGCTGACCGACAGGGCTATTATTAAACATTTTGGACACTTTTTACTTTGGAGGTGGTTGTTGCTACTTCCTCGTTTCTGGATTAGAGATGGGGATGAATAAAGAAAAATGGTGCTTCATCAGGATTTGTCATTCGCCAAAGTGGACGAATGGACGAAGCACCAAAGTTTCGCGATGAATCGACGAATAGTCATGGAGTCATCTTTAAAGCACAGTGTCCCCCTGAACAGCTGATCCACAGGACATTGACGAGCAGACCGGCTCCAGAAGGGGACAGGTTCTGTTCCTGCAGCCAGCCTGCTTGCCAGAGGCCCGCCAACATTGACAAGCCGGCTGGCTGCCAGAAGGCAAACCCCTATTTTCATTCCTGCAGCCAATCTGCACGAAGGGACAAATAAACATGGGTAAATTTTCATTCCTTTGTATTTGTTGGGGTCTCCAGACTTGATGAATACAAAAGGACGAATATCCCACAAATCAGTAATATTTCATGAATATCGTGATTCTTTTTTAAATTCGTTCTCATGTCTATTCAGGATTCATTCGCAGTCATGGTGACGGATTTGTAATTTTGGACTATAAGACTCAGCATTTTGAGAGTTGTAATCTAGAGATGCAAATCTGCATGTCCCTGTTGCTGAGCTTGAATTTAGCCAGAAGTCTTGTGTGATTTCTTCAAGATGTGACCGTTCAACTAGCCTCTTTTACGGAGTCATAAATGTAAAAGACATGTTAATACATGACAACACTAAGGAAATATTAAATGTTAGATCAGGGAGATAATTTTGGCTTTCAGGTAGGCTGTATCCTCTAAAACAGTGGTTCCTAACGCTGGGTCACCCAGGTGTTCTTGGACTGCAACTCCCAGAATCCTTCAGCACTTGCTGTGCTGGCCTCGATTTTTGGTAGCTGCAGTCCAAGAACACCTGAATTACCCAGCGCTGGGAACCACAGCTCTAATCTAAAAGAAGTAATCAGTCTGTCTTCCATGAGCTGAGGTTTGCGACATATATATATATACATATATTCTTCATGTCAAGTAGATATTCTCAGAAAGCTTAATGGAGCTTCTGGGAGGGTTGGTGGTCTTTAGAGGTCCTGAAGCCTTGACCTTAGGAAGACCTTCTGAGTTCTTCCTCACTTTTCATTACACGCGAACAGTTGGATTATCCTCTATGGTAAAACTCAGTTTTGCAGCCCTAAAATAACAGGAGGGCCTAGAAACTTGGGTTCCCGAGATGATGTATTTCATGCTCAGAATGAAATTCCTCCGTTGTTTGGAATCAATGAATGCCGGAGACCCTTAGCGTCAGGCGTAGCATGGGGCTAGGTTTCATTTCATCCTTCAGGAGCATCTATAAAAAGCCGTCTGTTATCCAGGAAACTCTTGCATGGCTGTGTGTTCAAATGTGTAGCACAACAGGCTCACGGTACATTCCTACGGATCTAATTCAGAAGTATGTTTCGCTGGTTGCAGGTGGCTTTATCCCCAGATAAATAGGCAAGGCTTTGCAAGCTTTAGAAATATCTCATTATAAATGTGTTTGTAGTCATTATTAGCATCCCTGCCTGCTCATACTTACGGTTTGGCTTTTATAGACCTGTTGGCTCTCTTAAAGTGCTGCTGGAAAGCCAAAGCCATTTCTCAACTTGCCGATGGCTTTTTCTCCCTCCAGTTCTCTTGGCCCAGAGGGTGAAGGTCCTCCATGAGGTCACCGGCTACATGGGCAAGGAGGTGGTCCTCCCCTGCAACTTTGCCACGACCACCCCGGACATCAAGGTCAGCCAGGTCACCTGGGTGAAGGAGGCCGGCGGCAGGAAGCAGAATGTGGCCGTCTACCACCCCGAACACGGCCCCAGTTACCCGATGAAGGGGAACCAGTCACGGATCCAGTTCCGCACGCCGTCTCTGGAGGATGCCACGCTGATCATCAAGCCTGTGCTGCTGATGGACGAAGGGACCTACACCTGTGAGTTTGCCACCTACCCCTTGGGCAACGAGGATGGCGTCACCAGCCTGACAATACTGGGTAAGAAGGAGCTATCATCTTCAGCATAAATGTTTGGGTTGTGGGAGGCATGATCTCTCTTGGTGAGCCCTTGCGGGCAGTCAAGCTGCCTTCTGGTGAGAAAACCCTGCCTCAGGATAGATCAGTTGCTTATCTTAAACATATCTGTGCACTTGAAATTTTTAATAGGAAGGGGGTCTAAAACATGCTATTGTTAATTGGTGATAAGAAGTTTCCCAAACACCTGATACAGACATGGAGTGAAATGGTTTTGTCTGTGAACAATTTTCCTAGCCTTTGCATTGTGTACTAATGTCTTTGCATAGAACCATGGAGTTGGAAGGGGGCCTGTAGGGTCATCCAGCTCAACCCCCTGATTAATGCAGGGGTCCAAGTTAAAGTATATCTGACAGCTGTCCAGCTGAGTGATTCCAGTGTTGGAGAGGTCACCACCTCCGGAGGGAACCGGTCCCCTTGTCATTCTGCTCCAACCCTTATGAATTTTTTCCCCCTGATATTCATACACAGATCTGATTCTGGATCCGGTAACCAATATTCCCGTTGGACTTAGTGGCTTTTGTGGCCAATGTCTGTTTGTCGTTACTTGACTGGCAGTTCTCTCTTTTTCTCCAGCAGATTGGAGGGTTGCGGAGTGTAGGTCTTGGATAACATCTTGGATTTTTTGCATGTTCATTGGTTCTATTGTTTTGAAATTTTGTAATGCCGCCCAGAGTTGACCGTTGGTCTAGATGGGCAGAGTATAAATCTAATAAATGAAATAAATAGGTATGTTTTTCCCCCACCCCTCTTCCCTTACAAGCATCCTGTGATGTGGGCTAGGCTCAAGAGTCCAACATCATGGCTAAGCAGGAATCTAGGTTCTGAGCCAATCTTGCCTGGCATGTCATTTTCCAACCCTCTTGCTCTGACTCAGCCTCCACCACTCCATCTGGCACCTTCCAGATGTGTTTGAGTACAACTCCAGTTATTCCCAGACCAGATGGCCAGATGGCCCTGGGGAAGATTCTTAGACCCACTATGTCATAAAACAGGGAGAAGTCCTTTGACCTTGTAGAGCTTTTGATCACCATCTCTTTCATCTCACATGGCAAAGAATTTGGGAAGCTAAAAGCCGTCCAGAAAGCGAAAGTCTGTGGAAACATAGTGTTGTAATAGACCATCTAAACCAGTGGTGTCAAACTGTGGCCCTCCAGATGTTCTTGGACTTCATCTCCCAGAAATCCTGGCCAGCAGAGGTGGTGCTGAAGGCTTCTGGGAGCTGTAGGCCAAGAACATCTGGAGGGCCACAGTTTGACACCACTGATCTAAACCATTTAAATCAATGGTTCCCAACCTTGAATCTCCAGATGTTCTTAGACTAGAATTGAAGTCCAAGAACATCTGTGTTAACCAAGGTTGGGAACTAATAATTTAGGCCAGCCTAGAATATTGACTATTGTAGAACATTCTGGGAGATTTTCCTTGGAAGCGTAGAGCCGGCTCAGCAACTCAGAAGTAGGGCTCCTGTTCTGGCTTGCTCTGCTGGTTATTTTTGGAGATGCAAATTATTTGAATCTTGACTAAATTCTGATGGGAGGGGATCTGTTCATTTTGAAATTGCTTCCTCGGGGCCATTGTGAACCAAGCCGCTTAAACGCTTTCCCTGCCTCGCCTGTTCCCGATGCTTCGAGGTAGCGGCGTGTCCTAATTCCTTGAATTCATTATCAGCAATTTGCCGTACAGTTCTGCAACCCGAGAGTGTAAGGAAAACAGCGGCAAGTTCTTGCTGAACAGGCTGTTTGAGATCCTAAGAACTCTCCCAAACAAACCCAAAAGGGCTTTTGAGCTACCAACGTAATGCTTTCTCTTCGCATGAAGGAAGCTCTCTGTTGCGTCCCATCAAGAAGGCTGTCCAGCTGTCACTTAAGACTATTTTTAATTTGATCTTATAGGGACCTCTAGGGGCGACGGATTCTTTCCTTCTACTCCGAGGTCTCATTAGATGGAGAAGTTCCTGGGGACGACCTCTTGTTAAGGGCATGACTGCCGTGCCCAGAAGCCACTCCTTTAGAAATCAAGGGTTATCCGTTTGCTGGGATTCTGATGCGGCACAGCATCAGGCTTGGGATGAAAGATTCAGCTTACAGGGGGTGGATGTTGGCTTTCTCTTAAAAAGGAAAGGAAAGAAAGCAAGCTTACGTTTGTGAAGGCTTCTGCAAAAAGGTGCGGGCCAGCCTTCCAGTAACCCTGACAAATGGGTGTGATAGCTCAGACTGATGGGAGTTGTAGTTCATCTAAAGGGCACTGCCTTTGTGGGAGGCTGATAAGGGCAACAGCTAACGAAATTTTGTAAGCCAACAGGATGGTTAGTAAGGTTTTGTATATCTGGAGCTCTGAATTCAAAGACCTGCTCTATCCTTGCTGCTCCTCATTAGCAAGAGGAGTCTAAATAATGCAGGTTATTTTCCATAATTTAAGACATGCGAGGGCCATACACCTCAACCAAGGGAAGGCAGAGGCCGCTCAAAGCTGCCAGTGTTGGATGGCCAAAATTGTGTGCCTTTCACCCAGCACGAAATGGCGCACCCCGAGATTTTTATTTTTTAAAGTGAGTCTCTTCTCTTTATGATTGTCGAAGGTAAAGCTTCGTGGAAACTCTTCCCTCACACTTGGGCCTCCTCGCCAGCCGTGAGACAACTCTGCTCTTCTCTAGGATAGAAAAGAGGTTCTTTTGGCTTCCTTCTGTGGCGTGGAGCGTGGAGGGTTTTAGCAAGAGGAGCTGGCAAGATCTGAGGAAGCCCTCCTGGAAGAGATTCTTGCAACTGTCTGTACATCAAAGCAGTGTTTCTGACGCAACCGAGGCTTCATTGTGCTTAGTCTGTGCAACTAGCTTTTAGCAAGAGTCACCATTTTTTAAAAAATAAATGAGCAATGATCATAGGACCCTCATTGACTCACTCCAGTTAAGAGAGAGACAGGAGCTTGTTTCTCTCTGCGTGTGGATATCAGGAAGGGCTTGGGCAAAGCTGTAATATTACAGCTGTTATTCATTCATTAGTTTGTTTGTTCGTTCAATTTTATTCAATTCAACCCCAGTTTTATTTAAAATATTTTTTTACTCTGCCTTTCTCCTGAAGAAGGACCCAAGCTGGCTTACATCGTTAAAAGGCAATGTTAAAGCTAACAACTGCAAATATACAAATACTAAAAGGGATCAAACAGATAACATACTAAAAAAAACCCACATTCAAAGCAGTAAGGCACAGCAACCCATTAAAAAAAAACCCACTCAGGCATCCAACAGTAAGGCACAGCAACCCATTAAAAAAACCCCACTCAGGCATCCAGTCGCTCAGGGAAAACCTGCTTGAAGAGAAAGGTCTTTGCTTGTTTGCAGAAAGAGAGCAAAGATGAGGCCAAGCTTAACCTCCAGTGGGAGGGAGTTCCACAGTCTCCAGGAGCAGCCACAGGGAAGGCAAAGTTGACACAGTGCAAACCTGTGTGCGCTCTTTTTTTCATCTGGGTCTGTCCACCTTTATCAATAGCAATTCAGTCTCTCTGAGTCTTCTTCTCTTGTACCTTTTATTTCCATAAATAGATTTCAGGCTGGTTGGTTTTTTCCTTTCCCTTTTGTGCATATTGGGAGAGAAGGCCATTTTATACAGTTAGAAACATCCGCTGAAACGTCTCCTCCTTGGTCTGGACCATTCTGATCACACAGTGAAAGAAAAATGCTTCCATGCTTCCCCTTTTCTAATGACTAGAGATGGGCACGAATCACAAGTTTGGCAGTTCGTGCTGGTTCGTTTTTTTTGGCTAAACAGATGCTCAGCGCTTCCCAGCCCTGCCTAAGAGGCAGCGTGCCTGGAGGAGGTGAGGCAAGGAAGCCAGGATGTTGCCTCTGAATGGGTGTCTGATGAAGAAGGCAAGGCTAGGAATTGCAAACTCCTGTTCGGTCAAAAAACAAACCAGCACGAACCGCCGATCTCACAGTTTGTGCCCATCTCTACGAATGACATAATTTCTCGTACAGCCTGGCCTTCCCCCCGAGCTACTTGATTTCTGCCTGCGGGGAGCTGAGGCTCTTCAAGAGTGAATCCAGTACACACTGTCTTTTTTTTTAAACCACCACCCCCTTCCCAGGAGAAACACAGTCCAGTGTCCCACGACCTGTTTCGTCTCACCTTTTCTCTCTCTCTCTCTCTCTCTTGCGCAGCGAGCCCCACCAATACTGCCGAGGCCAAGGAGAACCTGTTTCGTCTCACCTTTCTCTCTCTCTCTCTCTCTCTCTCTCTTGTGCAGCCAGCCCCACCAATACTGCCGAGGCCAAGGAGGTGAAGATAGGCAACACGGAGCAGCCGGTGGCGGTCTGCACTTCCGCCCACGGGAAGCCGCCCGCCCGCATCACGTGGCAGTCAGCACTGAATGGCAACGCCAGCCTCTCTCAGGTGACGAATGCGGATGGTACCGTCACTGTCGCCAGCCAGTACAGCCTGGTGCCCACCAAGGAGGCTGATGGGCAGCGCATCACCTGCATCGTTCAGCATGAGACCCTGACGCAGCCGGAGTCCATCCCAGTCACGCTGTCCATCTTGTGTGAGTGGCTCAGGGGTTGGGGGAATGATGGGGACCTGGAGGCAGGAGCTGAGCATGGGAAAGGATGATGCTAGTACTGTACAGGCTTACCTGAAGAGTGTGGTTCAATGGAAATATCATATTTAATTGGAAAAAGACTAGTGGTTAGAGGCGATCCTTCAGAGGGAAAAGAATGGGGGGAAAGAAGCACAGGAAAGAGAGCAACCTGGGAGAGTATACAGAGGTGCCTCGCTTGACGACGTTAATTCGTTCCAGCGAAATCGCTGTAGAGCGAAAATGTCATAAAGCAAAATAAAAAGGCCCATCGAAATGCATTGAAAACTGTTCAATGTGTTCCAATGGGTTAAAAGCTCACCATCCAGCAAAGATCCTCCATAGGGGCGGCCGTTTTCCATGCCTGTGTAGCGAGGAATTCGTCCCTAAGCACAGCAAGGGGCCATTCTTCAGCTGGCGGCCATTTTGAAATTTGATCGTCGTAAAGTGCAAATCGGTTCCCGAAGCAGGGAACCGATCATCGCAAAGTGGAAACATCCCATCCAAACCATCGTTTGCGATCGCAAAAACCTCACCGTCAAGTGGATTCTTCGTTAAACGGGGTAACTGTAAAGCGGGGCACGACTGTATTTGGCTGAAATGCAATGTTTGTGAGCACCAGAAATCAAAAGGGCCACCACGGAGTCCAGCCCCTGGACAGGGGAAGGACAGCAAGAAAGAAAAGAAGATATTCTTGGAGGAAGGAGGTCTGTGGTGAGAGGAGACAATGTTTTAGACCTACCAAGCACTTAATAGCTAAGGGAGTTTGACGTTTCCTTGCTGATTTCCTTACAGATCCTCCAGTCGTCAGCATAGAAGGCTATGATAACAACTGGTATTTGAGCCGCAGCGAAGCCACCCTGACGTGCAGCGCCAGAGGGAACCCCGCACCGAGTCAGTTCCTTTGGAGCACGTAAGTCCCAGACGCGTGCGCGCGCGCACATAACACGCTCGCTCTAGCCCGCCACCACTTGCAAGCGGAACCATCTGGGAGAAACTTCAGATGGCTGGCTGCCCTTCTGCGCCCATCAGAGGACGCACCGGAGTTTGGTCTTCTGCACAGCGATGCTAAGGAGGGGCTTCTGTGTGTCTTGCTCATCCTGATTCTCGACAGAAAATCCGCACGGTGAAATTCCTCTCTTTGTGTGTTGGAGGCTGCTTATATAATTATATAGGCAGAATTTCTGTGGGGAATTGATTCCAAGCCACCCCCCATCCCTGCAGATGCTGGAAAGCATGGATACAGAAATCCTATATATATGGGGCAACAGGCATGATGCTTTAAAAGCCTCTGTTAGCTTCTTGTGAAAGATTGTTTGTTCTGTTTGTCTGTCTGTCTGTCTATCTATCAATCGATCGATCAATCGCATTGTCTCTGGTTTCCTCTAGTGGCCAGTTCTGGTAATACACCTTGGAAATGCATATTTCTGGGGAGTTATTTAATATTTTCAGGCCACGGATAAGTGAAACCGCAGGTTTTGATCCCGTGGATATGGTGGTCCTATGGTACAATCTTTCACAAGAAGCTAAGAGAGATTTTTAAAGCATCATGTCTGTTCTGAGAACCATACACTTACAGATTTAAGCCAGGACTCTGCAAAGGATTCGGAGTGTTGTCGGGCAAAAAATGAGGGTCTCTAGCAAGCGGTTGGGGGCTTGCACTCAACTTAGTGAGTCAAGCATAAGGCAGGTCACAGATCCATCATGTGCTTCAAATTTGTGTTCTTCAGCTGGGTTTTTACAACCTTTTCCTGAAAGCTTCTGATCCTTTGAGCGTGGAATGAGGCCAAGCTGGTTTGGCCGGCTCACCAGATGGAAAATGTCCTTCTTCTCTGTGGCCACCTTGGTTGGGGGCTGTGAGGGCAGACCTCCCTGCCCTTTTTGCTGGAAGTCACCCAGTGATTAGGGGATAAGGATTTTAGGAGGGTGGGGGTGATCGGAAGGGTCATGGGTCTCCGGTCAAGTTTGGGTTGTAAGTATTCCCATTGCGTGCATCTAGACTGCATCAAAAACCCCAAGGCATATATTTGCAAGTCGAGAAATAAATAAAGATAAAGAGGATCAGGAAGCTCATCCTAATAAAAGAAGATACGACTCTGGGAAAAATGCATGGTTATCCTGCAGGCCTTTATTCTGATTTTTCATCTCTCTACTTTTCCTTTTTTTTTTCTTATGCCATATGTTCAGGCCGAAGATCATTATGGTTTCACAAAAGACCAAATTCATAGTATTAATGTCTTTTTTACATTTTTCTTTCTGCAAATACAAATTTCCAAATGTGTTTTTTTTCCTAGGTAGGCCAGTGTAGCTAGTCGTCATGGGATTTTGAGATTTCATGGACCCCAGACCCCAAAGGTCTCCAGGAATTCTCCTAGCCAGGCTTCAAAGGGCACTCATCAAGGAATCAAACTCCTGACAGGGTTTTTTCCCCGTTCTTACCGAGACCACCGCACCCATACTCTCTTGCAGCTTCTGCAGAGCTTAGCCATGTTCACCCACCCCCACCCCCCGTCTTCTCTGCAAGACAAAGAGGGTTGAATTCAGTAGTTGTAAGAACATGGAAAACTCCTGTCAAGACTTTGCCCTTGATAGGCTAGCGGGTTTTATTTGGCCTGTTTTTTTGCAGAAGTGCAACTAGAGTCCATAAAAACCTATGCAAATAAAATATTTTCGTCTGTAAGGTTGTGGAGATAAACATGTCGTCTGTACCAGACTGATGGAATAAGGTGAAATAATTGTACACATAGAAGCCGTGCTGGAGTGAATATTTATTTCCAGAAGGGAAATGGGAGAGGCAGGAGCCCTCGGTAATATATCCTGACTTAACTCGTGTGTCTTACTTGATTGTCCCATCTAGGCCTTCTGGACCACTTCCTAGCTCCGTGGAAGTCCAGGGCGATCGGCTCGTGGTGCGTAACGTGGACGCCTCTGTGAACACCACGTTCATCTGCCAGGCCACCAATCGGGTGGGTCAGGTCTCAGCAGAACAGGCCGTCTTTGTCCGAGGTGAGCGTGCGTGAACTCGTGAAAAACTTTTGGGTGAAGGGACTTCATTTCTAGATGCTGGGAAATGGAAATCTGGCAGGCTTATGTTTTGAGTTGTACGGGGGAGAAAGTGGGACGGAGTGGGAACGCTGGCGCATCGCGGCTGCTTTTGGAACTAGGGTTCTGCCTTTTGAAGGGACTTCCTCTCAGTGGTGTGGTTGCGCATGTGGAAGAGTAGAAGGATGATTGGACTGGGCTCTCCTTAACGTCTGCTGGGGGAATTCAACGTCCAACGGCTTTTTCTGGTAGAGGAAGCAACTCCTGACCTCCAGCATGTTGACACGTTTGCGAGAGGAGGGTTTAGCTTGGCCTCATGCATTGAACGGTCCGGTGGGCGCCTGGGTGGCAGCAAACCCAAGATCCAAAGGGGGTTATGGGGCAGGTGGGCATCTCAGGTCCTGAGGTCTGACCAGCCAGAGGCACTGTGGGTCTTGGTGGGTGGTGCGGGATGCTCGGTCGTGACGGGCTCCGCTGGGAGGAGGGAGCGGACGAGGCTGTTTGTGCTGTGTTCGGGCAGACCTGCACGGAAGAGGCACCTCCTGGAGTCTCTTCAACCCGATTCTCCCCGGAGAACCAGGAGACTCTTGTGCCTCCTCTCAAAGGACCCCCACCCGGCCGATGAGAGAGGAGGTGGGGTCCCCCGAGACCCCACACACACACCTCGACCGGCCCCATGTTCCTTTCCATGGCTCCGTCTGCAGCTCTGCCCCTTCCTCAGCGCTGGCAAGGCTTATGGTTTCCTCTGAGTGACCTTCCCCCCCCCCTTCGTCTTCCTTTCTTTACTCAGACCAGCCGGCGAAGAGGCAGAGTGGCAGCTCCGGAGCCCTGGTTGGGTCCATCGTGGGGGGGATCCTGGCCCTGGTGATTCTGGGGGCTGTCGTGGTCTTCGTCTTCTACCGCCGCCGACCCCGGGCCAACAAAGGCTCCTACGACCCGAAGACCCGGGTCTTCGGCAACGGGACGGCGCCTCCTCCGGTCCGAGAGTTCGCCGAGCTGGACCGGCCCCTCCGGGCCGCTCCCGGGAGGGGGCGAGAAGAGTACGACAACTATGAGGAGGAAGACGAGGAGGAGGAGGAACGTGAGGAGCGGCTCCAGCCCTACGGCTACCCATCTCGCCGCCTGGAAGACGAGGAGGAACGGTACGACCAGCTGGGCCCCATGTTGCGAATGGGCTCCTCCTGCCACGGCTACGAGTACGATGACATGGAGTCCCAGCACGACGGCTCTATCATCTCAAAGACGGCCGTCTATGTGTGAGCACGGCCTCCGACGGGACGGGAAGAGAGGACTCCCACAGACCTTTTTAGGTGTTCTTCATGGGTTTTTTTAACCTCCGTGTTATTAATTTATGGGCCCTGTGCGGCCGGAATCCGTGGCGGGCGCTTCCTCTTTTCAAAAGGCGCTGCAAGAGAGAGACACCCTGGAAGGAGCAGAAGGAGCCCCACCGAACAAGTTGGGGGCACTGGGATTTTAATTTTCCTTCATTTGGGTTCTTTCTCTTCTTAAGAGCAGCAGAAGTGGGTGGGGGGGCTTGCCGTCAAGGACCTCCCCCTTTGTCTCCCTGCGAGGAGACGCGAGGGGCTCTGCGGCGGCCTTAAAAGGAACTTTAAAATCTTGTTGATCAGAGATGCGCAGAGAAGACGCAACGCTGACTCTTTCAGCAAACAAACAGACAAAAACTGGGTTGGAGCAGCTGGGAATAGGGCTGGGACTTCTTTCGAACCCGTGACGATCAGGCCAGCAGTGCGGGGCGATCGCCTGTCCTCTGTGACACCCCAGGCTCTGACGCTGCTCATCTCT